AGGGCTTTGGATGTGTTTTGGAAAGTCACTGAGCGTTTCTAGTCCTTCCTGAAATACATCTAAGCCAAGAAAATAAAAAACACATATTTTACATCGGCTAATAAGAAGCTAGAGATAATGAAAGATATGCTTCCTTTCAATTTAGTTACAGTACTATTTATAGCACTGTGGCTTAACAAATGAATCAGCGTGCCAATAATATTCCAGCCGAATAGCAGTAAGTCTTTACACTCTCACTTCTGCGATTTTTTTTTCTTTATTTTGTTGTTTGTTTTCAAAAAGCTATTTCTAAATGGAAAYCTGTGTTTTATATAAGTCTTGGCCAAATATGTAAATAAACAATAATTAAAAAAGAAAAGTTTGTTCTTTTTTTTTTCTTTAAAACCAAGTGAATTGCATTAAAATGGAGCTATTCAGGATCAGGTTTTACACTGGCCAGGCCTTGCTATAGTATATAGAATTCAGCAGTAATGCCCCTCTTTCATGCATATTCTATCCTTCATTTTCCRTTTTCAACAAACATCTGAATTGTGATATCTGGAGTCATTTGAATCTAATTCTCTCACAACTCCAAAAGAGCAGTGGTATATTTGAAAATCTGGTCTGTATGGCTGCTTCCTGACTCCTTGGGTAGTCTGTATAATTGCACCTATTATAATAGCTAAGGATTGGGGTGGAAGAGGATTGTAATCTCCAAACCAAGTTCCAGAAATCGTGTGTGTTTTCACCACTTTCCAGGCAACAGAGAAATACAATAAAAGCTTGAGGAGCTGGTTCTTCAGCTGCTGCAGATCCGCACAGCTCTGACAAAATCATTAGTTTTGTTGAGTTGCATGACTTGAGTATCTGATATCAAGTTCCTAGATGAGTTCTCAAGGGATTAGCTGAGTTTCAGTCTCTTGAAGGTGAAAATACACTGTTGCCTCACACAGGAGAGATTTCTTCCCTAAAGATGTCAAAGTGCTTTGTTCAGAGGGTGTTGCTGTTTTTGTTTTGCAAGTAAAGGTTGACAGAATTCAAGTGTCTTGGCCAAACTTACACGATCTAAGCAGGGAATAGGACACAGGTTTCCTAATTCCTGAACTATCACTCTACCTACTAACCCCATTGTTTCCCTGAACCTTTGCATATAGTTCAGTAGATTAATAATTAACCTCCAAGCGGGGCACTTTGAAGCAAATGTAAAATGAAACCAAACACTTGTCTTGGTTTTTAGTCATACCAGATTTGCAAGTAGGGTGTGTTTAAATGATGCAGGTAGATAAAGTCTTGTTAATTTAGATTAGAGTAAAAGTCAGTACCTTATCAAAGCAAATGACTAATTAGGAAAACTATTACCTTTTGGAAAAGAAATAGTCAAACTATCACTCAAAATTATTTTAACTAATTGAATAGTACTAATACTTGCCTTGAATTAAAAGGTCATGTAACTGCAGGGGAGAGGAGGAAGACTGAGAAATTTGCTCAGGAATTGCCAGTGTTTCTGTTTCTTGATCGTTTTGCTTTTAGAAACTTCACAATACTTGTCATCAGTGTGCAAACATGTGGAAGGGAGGAGAGTCTTGTGAGTCACCAGGGAACCAAACTCACAAAATTTAAGCAGAGAGCTGCAGTTTTTGTGTTAAATACCCTCTCTCCAGTAGGAAGCAGTCTCTTCACTTTATCAAGCTGACAGGACAGTGAAGTGTTCATGAAYGGTCTGAAAAGACCCAGTGTATCTAAGTTCTGTAATAATTATGATCATGCATTTGAGAGCAAGGGTGGAAACACTGGAGCAAATTCATGGTGTGAAAAGAAAGATTACGATCAGACTGTATTTATGTTCAGACAGATACATGCAATTGTGAGGAATCATTAAATAACTGTTAACCACACCTGCACAGAGCCTCTGGCAATGCTGGCTTATACAGAATCTCAAGAACTGCCATGTGCYTGACATCATACTTTTGCTAAGAAAGAAAAGTCCTGGGTGTTAGCCCAAGATCGGTAAGTAAAATATATTCCAGAGAGAAGAGCCAGCTGAATGTCTGCTAGTGATTTTCTGGCCTGTCACACCCAGTATCTTCTCCCTTGTAAATCTGTCAGTAGTGCTGATTTGTTTGGTTAAGACCAGGTCTTACTAAACACCTCTGAATCTACTTTTAATGTGGTGGCTATTTACCTGGAAGTCAGCTAGGGTTAGGAGGAGGGAATCCATTSGTGTGTACTTGGGTACTGCAGCACAAATATTTTCGTGACTTGTCTGGGGCTTGTGATTGCTGTTGTAATATGGAGTTGCTTGCTTGAGTTTCTTTTCACAAAAAKCAGTTCCTCTTTACAAATGATTTTTTTTTTTTTAATTTGGCATTTTGCATATAGGAAATCCATATCTGAACACTATTTTTTTACTGTAGGAAAGATGAAACAGAAGTGAGTGTGAAAGGGGAACAGGGTAAAGGGAACAGAACGAAAGGATAAGGAGACGGGAGTAGAGCTGAGTCGAAGAGACGGAGAGGTGGAGAGTTGGAGTAACTAGCTCTAACCAAGGGTGACTCCTCTCCAGTTGTAGAAAATTCTCAGAATGCTCAAAGATCTCTGATCTAGCTGATCTAGCTGGCTAAATATTTTGGACTGTTCACCTCTATAGTTTTCCTCAGGCTAGGGAGTTCTTTGGGTTTTCATTTTGCATGGTGTGTTTTGAAGCAAGTCTTTCATCTGCGTTTTCTCTTTTAGGGTATGATTTTCCTGTCTTTCATGGAGGATTTTTTTTGTTTTGTTTTTCATTGAATCACAAGTCTTTCATGGCCAATGGTGATTGAAGATTTCTCTTTAATTGAAGCTGAAGTCAACAAATGCAAAAGTGAAGTTTGAACATCAGTGTGTATTTCTTCAAAGGGCCTGCTATTTATCAGGTCTAATTGCCTTGTTTTCTTCTGCTAGTGAAAATTTCCAGATCCTGTGCAGAATAGGAAGTTCTAAATTGTGAATTGAGTAAGATATATGTATGGAGGAGTTTGAAGCCAAGTGGAACAATATTTTAAAAGTCTGCAAACTTCCATGTTCATTTCAGAGAGGGGTAAGCTCTAGCAGCTGAGAGGTCAGACTGTGGAGGCATTTACTCATCATCAAAGAGATTTTATTGATTGCTTGATTTATTCATCCCAGTACCATAATGGGTTTGAAATACAGTCTATTTTGACTTTCTCCTGTCAAGACAGAGTCAAGTCCAAGAAACTTAGCAGCWCCCAAGATACATTAAAACCTATAAGAGACATCAAAATATTGTAGGACATGCCTTCCCACGATGCTACTTTGAAATGCCCATCAATTCACTGTAAATAGACCTTGGTGACTTGGACCGTGTTTGTTCTCTAGTGAAGTAATGTGAAGTAATACACCCTCTACCTCTACTTTGGCCTTTAAATGCACTATTATTAAAGTTTGGTCCACTGAAGAAGTTAGGTGGAGTCAAGTGCAGAGACAAACTTAATAGGTGGGACTTTCACTCCAGTGGGCCCAAATTCAAACTTTCAAAACTTTGGTCCAACTCATGATTATTCACAGTTAAGAATTCACAGTTAAGACTTTAATTAAATGGTGTTGGATATGAGAGTTAAATGTGGAAASTCTCTATTCTATTATACCAGCTCATGCTGCCGAAAGAAATAGAGCCTGTTTGATTGAAGAGACAGAGGTAAGTGAATAATTCGCAACAAATAATTAATCTAAATGTTTCTAAATGATTCTTACAGAATCTGATTATGATTGAGAAAGATCCCTATTTATTAATACTATGGGACTCCCTTTCACAAGGGGAAAGTTTATTTATATAAGATTAATGGGTTGAGGTATAGACTTGCAAGTTCTTCTTGAGTCATCAGCCCCAGAAAACATGTATTTTATATTAAGGTTAACGCAGTCTTCCAAGCAAAAGCATTTATGACTGTGCTTTAACTGATGGSTATATGATGACTGATGTTCCAAAACTTACTCTGTGAACACCTACGCTGGCATTCTTTTATGCACAGGAGTAATCCTAATTAATTTGAGAAAATTACCCTTGTGTATGAATGTATTCATTAGTATTTGAAACATCATGGTTTTAGAATGGTGAATCTTGTAGATATRATCTTGATCGTAGATTTATAAGATACTCACAATGTCCCATCTGGTCTTATGGCTACCTTATAGCTACCTTAGTATTCAAAACCAGCCAGTGCCCAGTCTTTAAACCTGAGGGCTTGTGCCCAYGTCTACACTCTCTTCCTTCCGAAGAGGTGGCCTCACCTGTGCCACGTAGAGAGAGAAATCCTTTGTCCACACTAAATCCTTAACCATGSCTGTGAGTTGTATGAGAAAGTACAGTGTGACACAAGAAATCCCATGTCAGGCACCTTRTTTCTTGTTAAATCACAAGTCAACTCTTGAATCCATGTTTGCAAGTACAAGATTTAACTTACAGGAATACTTGTGTTCAGTTCGTGCTGTGAAGCTTTGATAAGATGTTATTGTTCTCATATGTCCTTTACAGGAAACAGGAGTAGAGTTTTAGGAAAGTTATACCATTAAGCAGAGTGTATTTATTTATTTATTTATTTATTTTGGAATAGAGGTGAAGGTAGAGAAACCCATAAACAAAAAGAAACTAAAACTTGTGAGCTAAAGGCACGATAAGGAGTTTGAACCTTTCTTTCTTTGACCATTAGTAAATATGTTTGCTTTACAGAAAGTGAATTCTCAGAACTGCTGGCTGAAATTGCAAATGGTTGCATATGTTGTCACAGCTGGGACTTATCATCATCTCATTGCAAAGCAGATGTCTGCAGTACATTATGTGATTTGCACCTTGCAGTGCCCAAAAAGAAGCCTAAGGTGTCACCTGGGATGTATTACAGGGCTCTAAATGTGTTTGAGGTGAATTCAAGGGTGCTTGGCTCCTCTTAGGAAGTACCTAAAATGGGCATATCCTAGTTATTTGCTTAAGATAACAGATTGTGAAAAGCAAACCTGTTTTCTTTATAATCAAGCTTAATTCTGCAGTTGAGATCCAGTTGAGCAGAGGGAGTTAAGCTGCAGTCCCGTGGAAGGTGAGAGAGAGAGAGAGAGAGAGAGAGATTCTTAGTTGAGCATTATTATTATTATTATTATTATTATTATTATTTTAAGCTAGCGTTGTGTTTCATTCCAAGCATTACTGTTATTCTCTTCTTTTGCCTGGCTGCTACTTGTTTTTTGATGTGATACATGCAGGCAGGCATGTTACATTGGACTGTTTTGCAAGATCTTTCTGTGAAATACTAGAACATGGGTGCTTGCTCCAGGAAAAGGCGTGCTAATGTCTATTTGTATATGCCTTGATGGTTGTCTTGCTTAATCAATGGCAGCAGGAATGTCTTTATTACTGCTGAAAGCTGTCTGAAAGTTGTTTCTGCTGTTACTGATCTGTTGCTTTACAGAGCTCCCTTAAGCTTGCTGTACTGCACTTGCATTCCTTGCATTGCATCGTTACCTCTTTCTGTTAACCTCCTATCTAAAACTTATTTAGGTTATGAATAGTAGGCCGTGTTATCAGATGATATAGTCCTCTTAACTTCAGTGAAGTGTTGTGTGATGAACTAGCTAAACATCTGGAGAATAATTTACACATTCCTCAAATYTCACTATCTCTGAGCATTTTGGATGAAAAGAACTGACAGCAGATGTGATAGTAACTCTATTGCTAGAGGTGTGTCGGTTTATACTGGTGAAATACTTGACTGCTGAATATAATGACATGGTAATTACTGATTATAAGTACAATGAGGATCAGACTATTTTCCACATACTTTTATTTTGCTGGAAGCATATATCTCCTGTCTCTTAAAATAAAGATGCCRAGCAAGAGTACAGCATTTCATATTTGGAAACCAAAGTAAAAAATTCAAAACAATTATTTGCAGGATTAATTCATTAGGTCTTAGTTGCCCATTAGCTATGAACAGAATTATCAAGTTTTCTTTTATATCAAATATTCATGAGTCATTTGGGCAAAAAAAAAAAAAATAAAACCTCTTATAATGTTTGCATTAAGTATGATTCTTTCTTATATAAGAAGAGTGTTATGATTTGCCTTTCTCAGTAGATAATTTATGGAATAAATTAATTCAACACCTATGTGAATGATAGAGCAAATGGCAAATACACCAATGATAACTAGATTTAAGCTTTTTTTTTGTTATATGCTTAAGGTCTTGTCTTATTATTATAAAGGAAATAAAACTTGCATTTATTTGCTTTGCTTGCTGTGGCAAGTTTTGCCACAGAAGTCAAACAAGTAATTCCCAAAAGCTCTCAAATTGAAGTTAGCTTTTGAAATTGAATGTTAGTCTGACATTTTCCTGCTCTATTCCTTTCATATTTCTTATTGAAAGGTGTATATGGTATGACACAATATGTTGTGACTCCATGGCGAAGTGTTGCAATGCACCCTGGTCAAAGTATGTAGTGTTTCAGAGCTAGRCATAATTTGTGATTGCAACAGTCACAAATAGGATGTGAGCAGTGGGAGCACATGAAATGTGCTCAGTGTTTCCATCTCATTCATAATATTGACTCAGCAGTTCCAGATGATTATTAATAGTTTCCCCAACAAGCTTGGATTGACCAAGTGTAATCACCTTCTGTATTCAAGTAGATTCACAAATTCTTTAACTTTTAAGCTGCATTCGCACAATAATCCAACTCCTTGTGAGGCTGTGTATTACATCCATCAATAAAATGAGAGAGAAACACAGCAATAAAAATATTATTTAAATTGGAAGCGAGGCAGAACTCATTATAAAGAGAATTTGYACCATATTCACTATAGGATTTGCTAATTCTCCTAAGTTCTTCCAATCTAATTTAATTTATGCAAATCATTATTTATGAACAGCTATTATCAACAATACTAATAAGCTCAGTACTATTAATAACAGAGAACTGTGCTAATTTACTGTTCAGAATTGAATTATGTAATATTTGCAAATTTGCTTGGCTTTATAGACATTGAAAAAAAAATCTCATTGGCCAATACAAAGTGCTGCTTCACAGAACAGAGTTCTGGGTTAGCAGGGAAGATGTAAACTGGAACTTGAATAKGGCTGGGTAAGGGCACTGCCTGTGTTGATTTATGAAGGGATGTGAAGTCCTGGATGGCCTAAAGAGAGTGAACAGGCAAATGAAATAGTGCCTGAAAGTTAGATCCAGATCTTCATAGAGAACTACATGAGTAAATACTATTTTGCCTTTACTAAGTTTATTTTATTTTGTTTTGTTTTRTTCTATGCAAGTCTTCAGGAAGCTGGTCCTTTTCCAGTTTAGGATCCAGGTTGTGGATTTAGAGCTGGATTGCTGGATTTTTGATACTTGATATTTATTTAAAAGCTGTAACTCCTGGATTCTCATCATAGCATAAAAATGCTCTTCATTAAGAAAGATGTAGGTTATAGGCCTGTAGCAATCCTCACTTTTCAATTTGGTAGGCTGGTTTCATTGAAATAACAATATTTTGTGATAATAAATCAACTTTTAGCCATCTCCTCCCCCCACCAACAAAAGAAATAAAGGAATAAATTCAAAATATTTAGCATTCTTTTCCTCGGTCTATGACATCAATACATTTTGATTGAGGCTTGCTTGAGATTTCTCTATTAAAATTGCATGCTTCTGGTGATTCAAAATGGTTTGGGAGRATGATATATTCTTATGTTGGTTCTACCCTCTTTTTTAGGTTRGAAAATAAAACAATTTTATGATTTATAGGCAGGATTGGTTTTGCTGCTTTAGGATTCAGGTGGGAGGGGAATGAAAACAGCTTGTATATAAACTAAAAGTAGAAGACAAGTTCACAGAAGTGGGGAAAAGAGGATCTCCTGGTTTTTAAAATACTGTCATCCTTAAAGCATTTTGAATAGATCATTTTAAGTTAGTCTGCAGTTTCCATGGGACCTTGTTCTATCTGTTTGGGCAGTTATGTACCATACACATAGGCCCTATGTAAGACATAAAAATAAGTATGAATGATAGCAATGTAGATAATACTGCTTCTTATAAATAATAATTAATGCTAATTGCTGTTGACTGTGTATGTTGTGGCTTGGATGAAACTGTCAGGAACTGGCAGACATGTTGATATGAAATCTCCACCTACAAAGATCTGCTGAAAGAGCAGTATCTGGTGTAAGGGCATCTGTCCTTGGAAGAGCAAAGAATATTATTTTTTATTAACTTTCTTTTTCACAGAGAAATCAGATTTATAGCTTTAAAGTCCTTTAAAGTCTCTCTGTGTGCACCAGTTCCAAAGGATTCCAGGCATGGAACAAATGTGAGATCAGATCGTGATCAGATTTATATACTTATGCAAGCATATAAAACATTTAATGTTAACCGAAAATAACATATGCAGCATAATGTTCTATAATATCAGGCCCACCTGCATGTGAACGTGTAGATGCCAACACGTGTTGAGGGTGGGCAGTTCCCTAAGTGGGGTGGGGAGCAGCTGAGCTAGGCTGCTGTGGCTGTCTGGAATGATGCAGGAATGCATGCTATACACACTGGTGCCTACTGACAGTCCTTGGAAAATCCATATCTGCATGTGTGTACACACACATTCATGCTGCTTTTCCACTGCCACTTCCCACACGTTTGGAGTTTCTTCACTTTCTGCACTGCCCTCAAGCCAGGCAGTCAGAACTATCATTTCTTTCTCCCCAGTCATGTTTTTCCGTGTTTCCTCCTCTACTTGTTACTTTCCATCCCCCCAGTGGAGGGGAGCAGGATTGTTTGTCTGATTTAATATTTTCTTGGAAAGAAGTGGTTTAGGCTTTCAAAAATACGGTGTTGATTTTTGCCTTCAGATAAAATGTGTATTTGCGTGGGGGATTCTCTTTCTTGAAGGAGGAGATTTTCATTGCTGGGGAGAGAATTTCAATGACAAACCAGTTTTATTTGAGTTCCATTGAGAGAAGAGACTGGGGAGTCTGTGTGAAGTGGATGTTATGTGGGATCTGGGGCTTAGTGACCAGTTGTGATTGCAAAATACATGAATTACCTAGACAGCATGATATTGCATATGGCCCTGCAAACAGAGGAAAAAGGAAGCAACTAGTTAAGTTAGTGACTTTGCTGGAATAATTATAGGGTCCCTGAATTCTTCTCTTGTCTGCATTAGCAGTGAACACCCTTGGTGAAAACTGTAGACCAGGCCATTCATTACATCAGCTCCATGACTTCATCAACAGATTTGCTTGGGGTACACCCTGGAGAAAAACTTGATATATGCATAGCTGGCACCTCAAGGTAAGATATTCTGTATTCCTGATTGTTTCCTGCCAGTGGATCAGTTTGRCATTGAGATGATTTGACATCATACATGCCTCTTTCACAAAAACATTGACTCAACATTTGGGCAACCATGTTTTGTTGTATAGAGTTTATTCCAATATTTGTTGTAGGTTGATGATCCTCTTGTGATAATCAAAAAGCATTATATATACATATATGAATATATATACAAGAGATTGTTTTATAATGGCTTTGCCAAAATAGAAGTAATAAATACTAGTCAATGTGTTAACTAATAAACAGTTAACAAAGAATATTTTCCACAATTAGTGAAAACAGCATAGGTAATGATTTCTTTGAATGTATTTGAAGACCCATCATTTTGCCTTTGCATTGATGAAGCCGAACATGGAATATCATATTTGCTTTTTATGATGCTAGAGTTCAAATCCACTAGTATAGAATTAGCATTCATCATGGAACATACCAAAGGATACCCAAATAAAGCAGGTTGACTTAAAACATACTTAGTTCACCTACTGAACTAGAACAGCATAATTGAATCAGTGGGATAGCATAGCTAGATTTTTATCTCTTTCTTAAACTGAGAAAGCTCTTAGGGAAAGTGGGAAGGGAACAGGGAGGTGACACAGATTCTGGCAGCTTAGTGGAAAGTTTATTAGTTTATTTGTGGAAATACTCATAGATCAACCTAGGACTCTTCTTTTTTTTTCCCTTCCCTCTTCCTTTTTAGCATTTTTGTTAATGATTGAGGTATAAAAAGCTGAAAACAGGTGACACAAAACTAGGAGGCATTGTCAACCTGTGGATGTGCAGTTTTTCCTGCAAGGGGATTATAAAGACAAGAATGATGGAAATAAGCTAAAGATGTAATAGTTAAATGTTTCTGTCTTTAGTGGAAATTGTTGATCCCTGCACGCTAGTACCTCATAAAGGGGGGAAAAAAATCCTAGGGAGGGGAAAGATTTAAATTTGTTCATTGAATACAGAATAACTGTGAGCTTCTAGTGCAATGTGAGAAAAGCCAAATGGAAACAGAGTGCTCATTAATGGATTAGGTTTGTAATTAGGAGGCTTCTAAAAATGAGATTTCTGTAATAACCTTCACAACTGGAGTAGGAAGAAGAGAAAATCTATTTGGAGCTTGATAACTGATGAGCAGGACTCTTGATATAGGAGCTAACAGTATCTGGAGATAGTCTAATGGCACAAGGCTAATCCAGATCTTATTTCCAGTGAAAGAGGCATGTGGTTTATTTAGCTATATGGTGCATATGCAAAGGGAAATTGCTGTAGGCATTGCTGATTAAAATTCTTAAGTCCAATAAATAAATTTAATATTGAATGATTATGGTATACCATTTTATTCTTCTTAATTTTCATTAATTTCTTCATGTATGACATTCTAGACTTAATGGAACTCATTATTTATAATTGGTCTTGTGTCAACAAGCAGCAAAGATCAGRCTGTCTACTATTAGCGACAGTTGGCTTAATTTAGTAATGGTACTTAGCAGTTATGTAGTGCATTTTCAAATCCCTGTTCAAATATTAGTTAATTAGTCATAGTGCCAATTACTCTAAATACTATCGGGCCTTCTATGGAGATGGGTAAAGAGCTGTTGTTATCCATGTTTTAGAGATGAAGAAAGTGAGAGGCAGATGAGCAAGTTCTGTTTCTGTGCATCTTTATATATAGGTATTTTAAAGAAAGCTATCCTTCAAGAGTAATGTCCACTGAGGCCATTGGAAATAATTCCAATGACTTTAAAAGGTCCCCTTAGTGCCTAATTGGATTAGCCTGCAAGAACCAGCTTCCTAATGTTATCTAGCTAGTATAGTACATGGAGATCAGTGATGAGAAGTGCATTTGCCCTGAAGTGCATTTGCCCCTGTAGTCCTATTGTTGTGAACAAACAGAAGCACTTAGAAATGAGGAGTKTGCTCAGTCACCCAGGGAGCAAGTATCAGCAGTGAGAATGGAAGTTTCTTGCKGTTGAGTGCTGTCCTTTCCAAGTAAAGTTTAGGTGCTTGAACCTATTGGTTGGTAATGAGATTTTCAGACATTCATAGGTAAGTATTACCTGCTAATTTTTTCAAAGAAGTAGCTAGGTACTCCTGTCTTCTGCTTAATGATAATGGATAGTATGGATTTCTGAGTCCTTTCAGAAACCTCAGTAACATGTAAAACTTGGCCCTATGCTTCCGTGGTATGCGAGAGCTAAAACTCAGATAAGATGCTCAAGTGATTTGTCTAAAAAGACTCTGAGAGTTAGCAACACATGTTGCATTGCTTTTAAATCTGAAATTTTGTAGAGAAAAAAAGGAGAGTGAAGAAATCTCAGCTTCATGTTTAGTGTTGAAGATTCCTCACAATCCTGTATCTGTGAAGTGACAGGAAGCTTTGCAGTTTCAATTAAAGATGACAAACCTAGTCAAAATATGGTCTGTTATGTGTTCTGCCTCAGTTGTGTTTTTTTGAGCGGTGCAACTAACCCTGCTTAGATTCCAATATATGTTGTCATGCTCAGACTTTTAATTCTTTGAGCATTTACTATGATTTGCTGAAAAACTATTTGTTTCAGCAAGTGCTGTTTGTGCTTAAACTCGGCTGGGATTTGTGACAGAAGAGCATTAAATAGGTAAAAGAGCCTATGGAAAATGGATGTATGGATGAATATGCAAAGTTTCCTTTTTCATGTTAACATTTGTTTCACCCTGTTAGTCCCCAACTTTTGAAAGGTGGACTCAGATGTAGGAAAGCAGCGCATACAACATTTCCATCATTCTTTTTGTCTTACTCAATGAAACATATGTCTTCCCAGTCAGGCTCTCTAGAGTAACTGGGATGTTGGGAAACATTCCAGGAACAAGAATATACAGAACAATTTTCCCTTCAGATCCATCCTGTGCTTTGCCTGTAAAAAACATCTGTAAACTTGTTACCTGTTTCCTTAGCAGCAGTTATGTCAAGACAGGTGTTGCAAGGTAGACACCTCCATGGGCTCTAGAACAATGATGAGAAAAGACAGAAAAGTGTTCATCCATATTCTTCAAGATGCCAGTTATTGGGTCACTGCAGTCCAACTAATTTGTTTACAGCAGAACAAAGATGTGAAATAGGCCACAGAGCCAAAGGCTGTTGAATCTAACTTTTTCTAACTATGAGCACATTACTGTTACACAGTGTCATATGTTTTAAGACATGATAATAGGTGATAAGTACTAATGCAATAACAAATGGCAGTTGTTTCAGTGAGTCTGCTTTCAGTGATACTTCTGCATATGAGAGGTAGTTTCCTCTTAAGATGTGTAAATCTTTAAGAAATGTGCTTCTGATGAACTAATGTTTCAAAAAGTGCAGTCAGAATTGGATCCAAGATCTGTGTTGCTCTTGGCACTAGTCTAGTATGGGAGCAGAACAAGGCCTGGGTCTTGTCACCAGGAATGCTGCTGGTGTTTCTGAGCAGCAATGTCTTCTGAACCTTCCTTTACTTCCAGATTTTTGCATTCAGTATAGAAATTCTTCCAGATACAGTTACATGAGAACTTAAAGGTATTTTAGAGTAGCTAGGAATGAACTACATAGAAGCTTCAATTCCTCACTCTTGGTTAGCCTGCTTTTTTGAATCCTTTCCTGCCCCACCCTTCCTCCCCTGTATGCTTTCTTCATTTGCAATATTGCTTTATTTTTTGACTTCAAAGCTTATTTTAGACTTTCCATGGTATCATGCTGTTATAATTTAGGTTTCAATCCACAGCATGCTTTATTCACTGCCCCCCCTCCCCTTTCATGTGGCTGCTCTGTGACAAAAGTTAGTCTGGATGAGATACTAGAAAACAGTTGTAGTGGAATGACTCTTAAAWTCAGAAATATGATGGACTAAGTGAGGGAAAAGCATAGTTTCAATGCAGGACCACATCACAAGAACTTCCATTTTTGTTCAGCGCCCTTTGTACCCAGTGCCTAGGCCTAAGCCCATAATTGAACTCTATGACCCAGTTTTCCAACTTGAGGATAATAAGGATTCACCTGCTTCATGCAGTGGTGAAAATTCTTTAGAATGAAAGAGTAGTAGATGGTCCGTTTTTCAATGAAGACGGGTCCTAATTTGACCCTTCTTCTGTCAAGTTTTAAGCTATTGAAATAAGAATCCTTTCTAAAATGAGATTAAAGATAGGTCCTACATTGTAGGAAAGATGTGCAAAAAGTAAGGGAATCTCCTGTTCTGGACTGTAAAAAGGTTATAATCCGTAGGCTTGATTGAAATGAAGCTTGCTAAGGGCAATCTTATATTGTTTTCTGTAATCAAGCAAATTTCTTATTAGGAAAATGMATATGAATTTATGGAAATTATTGAAGTCATCACTTATTTCTTTTCTAGTAGTCCTTCAATTCCTCTCTCTGCAGTGCCTGAAGTCATACTTAGGTTTCGCAAATGCACACATCCACAAAGAGAAATGGGATTATCATTATATGAGAGATCACTATATCCTTAAAAAACAGGAAAAATATATACATGCTCTATACAGACTATACAAACATATATATACTGTGATGCATATACACATGGAGAGGAAAAAATGACAACCTACTGTAAATTATTGCAGTTTAATAGAAATCAGTCAAATTGCTAATTTGAATTAGTCAAGCTATACTAATTTACACCAGCAGTTGAGATTTTTGGTCCTTACTGCTTTTATTTTATACTAATCTGTTTATAGTTTTCAAATATATGGAGCCAGTTGATTGCTAAATTGTTTATGGGGTGTGGTTCCAGGATTACAACAGTAATTATTTTACTGAAGCCCTTTATTTTCAAAAATGCATGTTTCAGATTTACATAATAGGACTAGACAGTGACTAAGGGGCAAATTATACCAAGATTATTGCATGCACTTACGCATGTGTTATGTTTTTATGACTCAGAATGGAGCTTGTTTGTGCTCTACCTTTTGGACAGAGGTGTCTTTTTGGGGGGATGGGGGTGGAG